CCTTTTTCCAAAAAAACTCAAGAACCCAGGAAAAAATTTTCCCCGAGGGGGGCCCTTTCCCCCCAAAAAGGGTGTTTTTCCACCCCCCCCCCCCCCCCCCCCTGGCTACGGGCCTGTATCTGCCACCCTGGTAGAGGGTAGAAGGGGGGGGGGGAACCACTCTTCGGTCATGCATTAACCAGGGAACAATGGAAATAATAGAATCTATCCAGTCGAGGGCACTAAGAATTATATTCCCTTTATTACCACATGTTGATGCCCTTGTCAAAGCCAGACTCGTTACTCTGAAAGAGCGGCGCATAGGATTTTGCCAATCATTCTTTGCAAAAATAAAAAAACGACAGGAACGAGCTGAATTACTTATTTTAATACCACACAGTTAAAACCACACAGAAAACTAAGGCATAGGCAATCAAATTTTAGTTTTACCAAAACTCAGAACCGACATTTAAAAAATACTTTTATTCCTTTTTCCTTATCACACTTTTCGTGGTCTGTGTTTTATTTTGGAACTTATCCTGGTCTTTATAATATATCTTTTATTTTAGCCCCTTTGCTTTTATCAAACTTTTAGAGGTTTGTGCTTAAGTTATTTTTGAACTCATTTTGGTCTTATTGTATATCTTTTATTTTATGTAAATGTTTTAATTTGTAATTTTTTGTAATTTTCCAGTTAATGTACAATTCAACCTTGTGGTTGCTATGTATAGATAAACTTATTATATATATATCTGTTTTGGGTGGTTATCCCCCACTCTACCCCCAGCCAACGCTCCTGTGACATGGTTTGCTATCTGCGCACCAGTCATCACTGGCGACGGGGAATGGGTCAGCATGCTACATGTACGTTTAAGACTGGGTTTCCATACCTAGATCGATCTAACAAGATCGATCCATATCCAAGGAATTTCTCGCTAAATTGCTTTCAGCTTAAGTGGCTTACATGTTTGATACGCCTACTGAAGCTGCTAAGCGATAGTTAATTACCCCCTAACAGTTTCAGTAGGCGTGCCAGACAACTAAGCCGCTTAAAGTGATTGCAATTTAGCGAGAATCCCCTTGGAGATAGATCGATCGGCAGTTAGTACGATAGGGTCTGGGCATGGTCTCTGACAGTGTGGCATGTTCACAAAGGGAGCGTGCCCATAAACCCAATAGCACTAGCTGAATCGATCTAACTCTGCGGGGATTCTTGCTTAATTGCATTTACTGAAAGTGGCTTAAATGTCTGAAACGCCTACCTAAGCTACTAGGGGGTAATTAACTGAAAACACTTGGGCGAGAAGCCCTGCAAAGTTAGATCGATCCAGCTAGTACGATGGGTTAATGGGAACGCAGTCTAAGGGATCGAACGGATCATAATGTCTCACTGAAGAAGTCAATGCTATCTTTAAGGGATAACAACGGTTCATATCAGCTTTATACTTCATAATGATTTCATTGTAACAAATAACAGAAATATTTAAAATTATCGAAATTGTTCTANATGCAGTGCATTTCTGGGGATGTCTGGAGTCTGTGCTTGCCAGCAAACCACGTGGGCCTTCATAGGTGGCTATACATCCGTAATAATCTGTTAAGATGTTATTTCAAAAGATTCCAGACTTTTTACAAAAAATATTTGGACTGTTTTTGAATGACTTTGGATTAATTAACCATTGCTAAGTGAAAATCGTCGTTCACCCAAGGAAAATCCGTTTTTTTTTTTTTTTTATGTTTTTTTTGGTTTTTTTTGCCAAGACAAAAAAATTGCTATCCTTTTAAAATGTTTTATAATTACTGTTTTATGAGAAACCAGTGTAATGTTGGAAGCGTAAGTACACTGATGTCATAACGAGAACAACACCTGATTAGTTTTCCCAAAGAGCGCAAACGTGCACGAAGACAACTCATTTCTCATTATTATTAATTATTTATCAATTAATTTAATGATCAATTAAATAACTCAATTATCAATTATCCTTATTAACAATTATCAATTAATTATTTCGTTAGTTAATTGATTACCCACCATCAAAAATCCCATTTCTGTCCTGAAAATTTCATCAAAATTCCTAACTTTTTGTGTAATGTCCTTTCTGCATAATTTGACCTATATTTAGTAAAAGTGAGACGGGTCTGTGGAAGAGTGTAGTGTTCCCATTTCAAAAGTCTTCTCTGCCGAAAGTAATTAGATTCAATTAACCTACCCTCTAATATCAGGGTACTGAAAAATAGTATGCAAAAGTAATCTGTGGGCCATTGAACATTTTTGTAACAGACTACTAGCTCACCCTGTTGTCAGAGAGTAAAATTAACCAACCTGGGTGTGAGGCCAATACTATGTCACTGTACACTTTTAAAGGGATAATAACTCTTCATTTTGGCCAAAAAATGAATTTTCCCGGAGTAAACAACAATTTTTCAATACTTACCAATGGTTAATGAATCCATTTTTACATTCAAAGTTAGTCCCTGTTTTTTTTTTCTAAAAATGTTTTTTTTCCTCTTCAGAGATTATAACAGAGTATAGCCATCAATGGAGGTCACGTGGTCTAAAGACAAGCTCAGATATCAGAATAATAGCTATAACTGCCGTTTTTGTGGTACAACAGAATATATTATATTTCTACGAGTTGTTCACAATGTTTTTGTTGTGAAATATAAATCTCATACGAAGAGTTATTATTCCTTTAATGGATATTTAAAGAGAGAAATGAAAGCACCTGAATGCGCCCTGGTGCATCCCAGTCTTGTTGATCATGTAAAATGCGCCGCACAACTTATATACATACAGTATATAGCTCTTACGACCCGACGTGTCATTTCACACGAAGCGGAACAAACTTTTATTGTTGCGCAGTTAGTTAAGTCGAGCGCATATCTTGAAGTTATAGGCCCATATAAGACTTTACTGGGACACGTCCTGCGTTTACTACATATTTCCGCATAACATGGAGACCAAAGCTAAGTTCTACGCGGGCGCCGTTCCGGTTTTACTGGCGATTGCATGGAGCATCTGGGGACCAAACCTCGGCCAATTCTTCCCGTTGATGTCAACAGACGACCCAAGTGACACTGGTAATTTAAAGGGCCACATGCAACGATTCGGGGAACAAGCCCAGAATTACGGGCACATCACCACGTTGGACTTTTTCCCAGACCCGGAGGTGTTTTACAGGGACTACGTGCGCAAGTCCGTGCCGCTGGTGGTCAAGGGGGCCCTGAAGCACTGGCCTGCTGTTCAGAAATGGAAAAACGAGGACTACCTACGAGAGAGGTTCGGCCACAGCTTTTTTAATGTCCACTGGAGAAACCTCTCTGACGAGAACCATCCGGCCTACGTCGACATGCCCATGACAGATTTCTTAGAGTTAGTACTTTCATGTATTCCTTTTAATTATGTACATAATTGCATTGAATGGCGGCTTCTCCCAGTAACTGCATGTGTTTTTCTTTTTTTCTTGAAATAAAAATAAGCACACGTTATCCACAACTTTAATGTAGTTATACTAACTTATGCTTTAATAGGCGAGATTTGAGATGTAATTCTAAAATTTTGATCATTAGCTGAAGAATAATCACTCCCAGAGGTCTTCTATGCCGCTAGAAAAATTAATAAAATCTTATATACAATTTTGTAACAGCTAACGTTATAAGGCTCGGCTAAGAGTAAAGGAAAATGAAGTTAGTAGCTACGAAAGAACGTTGTATATTTTCACTTGCAGAAGAGCAAGTGTATTTACGTCTCATAACAAGCAACAAGCTGTGTTATGTGTAACATCACCTGTATGGGAGACAGGATTTGCAAGTGACCCATTTTCGGTACTAATCATAGATTTTTGTCGACATTAGATAGCTTTATGTGCTGTTGTCAATGTGACAGCACAGCGTGACAGTCACGGTGACGTGATTCTCTTGTCCCCACAGGAGTATAGGATGCAGCACCTTTAGATGTAGGCCTACTAGTGAATAGAATAAAAGGAAGAGGGTTTGTGAATAACACGGGATATAGGGTCATTGGGGTTTTCACTTCTCTTTATTCTTAAAGAAGTTAAGCAAGGAGAGCACTAAGAAATCATTTTCTCTCTCTCTCTCTCTCTCTCTCTCTCTCTCTCTCACACACACACACACACACACACACACACACACACACACCTATGATGTAGGTATATTGCAAGGGGGTGTGCTCGACGTAATAAACAGTTTTTTTTAACTGGCTGGACGGCAAAAAAAAATCAGACCTCAAGAAACACCAAGCAAACCTGAAGGAAAAAGGAAATGATGATTTGGACAGAAATCCGCGAATATCTTAGGCACAGCCAACGCCAGCTTATTCTTTTATCAAAGGTTCCTGTACACTTGCTCAATAAAATCTCTATGACATGTAAAAGGGGTAAATAACTACTTAAAAGCCCTAGAGTTTCTTCCATATCTCAGGTACATGAACCGCACGTCGTTCACCGTCTTTCTCCGTGTTCCGACAGTTCATTGAATTGTCCAGAAGTGACGCACGTGCTATCCCTAATGAATGATAAAGCTTAATTTCCGATACACAACCCATGCCTATTTAAAACATTAATTAGATTTTCTTTTGTTTTTCTCTTTTTTTATTATGGAAGGGGGGTCGTATACACTAGTATACAGGGAATAAAGATCTACTCTGACTTTTCGGAATAGCCCCGATTCGGCGCTTCTTCTTTGCTTGTTAATTATGGAATGCTGATTTCAATTCCAATACACAACCCATGACTGTTTAAAGTATTAAAGTTTTCTTTTTCTTTCTTCTTATTTTATTTTATTTTATTTTATTTTATTTTATTTTATTTTTGGAAAGGGGGAGGTCGTTTGACGGTGTACAAGGACACATGTTCAGGAAAGGAAAATCCACTCGAACCTCACGGGCTTCACAGTTACTTGTACTGGTAGTCCTGATTCGGTGCCTCTTCTTTGCTTGCTAATTTTGGAATGCTCATTGCATGTTTTCTTGGTTTTGTTACACAGTACATATAGGAAGGAAAAGATCTATATGGACTCCACTATCAGTCCAGAGATGGCTGAAGATCTCACATTCCCGGGTTTTGTCGCTTGTGAAGGGTTGCTGAAAATGGTAGGTTGAGAATGAAGCGTTAAAATATTGAATATTTCCTGTTGAAATATAGACCATTCCTCATTTTCGTTCTGTTTGACTCGGTTGACCAACATCATGACGCAACAAAATAAACTTATTAAAATATAGTTGTGTTTTTTTTAAACACAACGCTTATAAGATCTAAAATATATTAGTTAAACACGGCAGCGTCTTTAACACCTAGGCCAGCGTTTATGATTATTATTAAAATTAAGAAAAATCCTTGCCCTCCATCGGTTTTGAGCATTTGCAACATAATCATTGTTGCGATCATTATTACATATTTGGAAACTTTTTTAATTTTAGCTGAAACAAGTAGCTATGTTCTTCAACGCCGGGTGGTCGAGCACCGACATTCATCTTGACGTCACGGAAACCATCTTCGCCCAGGTGGTGGGTGGGCGTCACTGGATCCTTACTACCCCCCGCGACGGCAAATACCTGTATACTGATGACTTCGAACCTCATAATGGTACACCATTTTGGTCCTCTCTCTCTCTCTCTCTCTCTCTCTCTCTCTCTCTCTCTCCGGTATTATGTTATATTTTATATTAAATAAACCGAGGCATATCTTCGCGGTTTACAAGGGACTGTGCTCTTTTTCTTTTATGTTAACAATAATAATTATTATTGTCATCTTTCGCAAGCAACGTTATTATTAATGATATGTTATGTCATTTTTATGTAATTATTATCAAAGTTCACTATTGACGTATATCCCATTTCCAGGTATTTCTCCAGTAAACCAGGAGGCGGTGGACTTGACCAAATTCCCTGATGTTTCAAAAATCGTCATCTATAATACCACACTTGAGGCCGGGGATATCATATATGTACCCGAGGGCTGGTTCCACCAAGTGCGAACAAAAGGGGGCGCTCCCAACATCGCCGTGGCGGTGTTCATCAATTTCCTGTGGTGTATGTGGGAATGTCCAGATTCCAACGATGCGGAGTACATTGAAAGCTGCATTAAACTCCGAGAGCAGAAACCAACGGGTGTGGTTGTGAAATATATTATTCTTTTTATTTGTGATACATTCGAAAATTTGGTAAAATTGGGTAAAATAGAGGAACCGTTCTTGTTTGATTACGTGATTACTATATGTTTAATCTCAGCACGAAATTCATGCGTTAGCACTCCTATTAAAGGTTTGTGATAAGCACTGACATGAACGTGCAAGCTGGTTGGTACTTATCGGAAACTGCATAAATTTGGTGCTTTTTAAAATATATTTTGATGACCTTTTCATAATTCAAAAGTGAAAACAATTACATGATAAAATCATTAATAAAACATGCTTTCTTTTTACCGAGAATCATAAATTGTGCTTGCTTTCCTTAGAATTGGAGTGCAATATTCGGATGGAGGACTTAACCGTGAGAGAAGTACTAACCAAGTATCCGTATCTCACTCCGCCAGCTATGGAACAGTGGAACGAGAAAGAAGAAACCGACCCTTTTTTATTGAAGAGTGGATATGAAAGTATGTACAGTTGTGATGCAGCGGGTCCAAATCATATTGTGTTTAGAATATGTTAATCTGAACATACAAAAGTGGGATATGAGACACTCTTACAAAATAAGGATAATCTAGGGCCAGCGAGGCATTTAGATAATTTTATTTATAACATTCACCTCATCAATTTGTGCTGAAGAAGGCACGACTGCGCGATGAGTTCAAAATAAGCTTTCAAAAAACTTTCAAAATAAGCATATTATATTACGTTGTACTTTGAAAGGCTTTTCATACATAGGTGAAAAGTTTAAACAAATACATATACTTAACCAATTATCATTCTTATACCATAAACTTATCATTTTTGTAAATGATGAAGACAAAAACACCCGAAAAGCTAAACTGAATTTAATATGAGAAGACGAGCCCTGTGGTTTTGGTACAAAATACACCTATTCTCTCGCATTGAACTTTGTGGGGGTCATACGTTGCACACCACGGTACTGCAACACTGTATAATCAGTTTATGATTTTTTTTTTTTTTTTTTTAATTTTGTAAAATTTAATTCTAGTGCCGATGTTGGGTCTTGGTCTCGGCGGAATGCCTCACAAAGATGCGCAAACAGCTATACCACACGCGCTGAAAGTCGGCTACAGGTGAAACAAAATTACTGTTTAAACACAGCATGATCAGTGTATATTTTTATATTTGTGATCAGGTGAGGTCGAGACATGATCTATTTACCGCATGCTACAAAGCACAGGAGCTAATGACTTTAAATTTTCACAAACCCACTTTCAAAAATCATAGAGTAAATAAATTAGTGATCCTTCTCTATATTTTTACCCATGCACATACCTTACTTAATATACATTTATATTCATTTTAATATCATATTTTTGTCAGGTTATTTGACACAGATCCAGAAGATGAGAGCGAAGCGGCTCTTGGTTCCATTTTAGCCCAGAATCCATATTGCAGACGCGAAGAGGTTTTTATAATTGTTAAAGTTCATCCAAAACATTTGGGTAAAGACGCAACTAAAAAGTCAATCGAAAGATCGCTGAACCGCCTGAAGACAGATTACATCGACCTGGTTCTCATTAAAGCGCCATCTTGTGACACACAAGGATTCGAGTGTGAAGCAGACGAGAAAAGAGGCACGTGGCAGGAATCTTGGGAAGCACTGGAAGAACTGAACCAAACGGGAACTGTTCGTTCTATTGGAGTCAGTAATTTTAAAATATCGCAATTGAAAGAACTGTTACAAAAAGCCACAGTTCCAGTCTCCGTTCTTCAAGCTAGGTTTGACTTGATAAAAAGAAACACAAAGTTGCGCAAATTTTGCACCAAGCATGGAATACAATTTATGGCTCATAGCGTGCTCGGTTTTAAGTGGCTTGACGAAGGATATCCAGAAAGTAACCCATTTTTCGATAACCCAAGGGTTTTGACAGCTGCTAGGAAATATCGTACAAGTCCTGCCACGGTTTTGTTAAGATACGCTATGGATAGAAACATTACAGTAGTTCCAAAATCGTCCAACCCCGTGCATATTTCCGTGAATAAACACGCCTTTTATATAGACGTTGACAACGACCCATCGTTTATGAATGACTTGGACGAAAACTTTCCCCATATGAATTGAAATAATGCCTTTCATTCACGATGTTACGTTTCAATACAAAGTCCATGCAGCTACGTGACGATGGATTAATGGATTTAGGCCTACTTGAATGCATTATGTATTTAACTAGAACTGAAAATACAAACAAAACAGAACAAACAATCCTTACATTGCATTGGAAGCTTAACAAGGGAAGCACAACTAGTTGGTAGATACTTTAATATTGGATATATCGGGAAAACTGACTAGTGCTTCACACATTTTCTAGTACCATGCAAAAATAATCACGCCTTTATACTTCAATTTACGTTTATATCTTTATGTTTGAATGATCGGTACATAAAAAGTGTGAATGTTCGTATTATTTTTGGAGCAATTGCTCATTAGTTTGTTTGAACCTGTGTCTAGTAAATTTGCATTTTCGGAGTACCTACGTTTCCAATGGCAGATACGTGTGTATGGATTGCACAGCTAACAGTGGCCCTGGTCATCACAGAATCACTTCTCCCCACCGGACACCAGCGGATTCGTGACATATGTGTTAATACAGNATATATATATATATATATATATATATATATATATATATATATATATATATATATATATATATGTAATGAACACCCTAACCAAAAATTTATTTATTTGATAATTTTATAAATAGATTAATATATTAACGGAATAATATTGATTGTGATTAGCCAATATGTGAACTGTTTTCTTAATCAGTAATAATTGCAGATATTGAAAACTACCAGTAGTTGATTTATTAGAATAATATAGCACACAATCCCCCCAAATAAATAAATAAATAAATAAATAAATAAATAAATAAATAATTAAATAAATAAACTATTTTAATAAATAAATAAATAATAAATGGACTATCTTAAGGGAGTCGTGAACATTTTGGCACTTCACAAACTTTTGATCCTAACTTTTGATAGAAAAAGGTAGGGACAGAAAGGTAGGCCCCACATGAAGCTTTTATAAATGGCGCTCAAGGAGATGCACATTCCCAAAGTTAATAGTGGGTAGGCCTATAATATAACCAAAAGATAAAGTTATGCGAATTTGAAAAACATTTTCTAATTTCTTCATTGGTTTGATGCTGTTCTTCAATTTTATTTAGATGATTTTTTTTTCAAATAGAAAATAAATAGAACACATGTTTTCACAAGAAAAAAAACGCAATTTCATATAAACCTGAGACACACAAGCGAAAACTTGTATCATCAAATGTGTTCGCATTTGAACTCAGCTACCGCATTCCAATGCAAGCATTTTTCTGTGCACTAAGCGACTGACCTTGGCGCGAGGCGAGGTCAAGTTTGTTTGGGGAAGTCGTAACACAACTAAGCATGTATGTAGCTTACGTCTTCATATCTGAGGTAGAACCTGGAAACTCTGTTGCATACATATAAGATGATTGGATAACTGGATAATCCGATTGATTTGGTAGCAACTGAAACAATCTGGAATTTAGTTGCAGTGGTTTTCAATAGGCGAAGTTCGCTACTTGAAGTTCTTTCCCACTCTGTTTCAAGTATTTCAGGTAAGTTTCATCGCATGAGTAAATCTACACTTTACAGTGGGTTTCTTGCGTTATGGTGGTGTACTCTGGTGGTTACATGTGCTTGTGAAGTTGAGTGTGCGACAATAGGTATCGACAGTGTAGAGTACGTTGATATTAACTGTGCAGATGTTTTTTTTTTTTTTTTTTTTTTGGCGGGGGGGGGGGGTTATGAGTTCCTCATTTCACAGTATTACTGGGACGTCAAAAATTTCCCTTTCTCGATTTCAGTTTTGTTTACACCAAGGTTCAGCCTAAAAATAGTTCTTTTGTGAAGTCAGTCCCCAGGTTAAGTTTCCTCTTTATAGTAACAACAAGATTTTTAAATATGAAAAAATACACAGCTCTTCCACTACATGTATCTCAGCTAATTATTCTTTAAAATCTATATTGCCTTCTGTTACTCACAAAGACATGCTGTCTATCATATGAACCCTCTCCTCTTTCAGAACTTAAAAATAGCACATTTTTCAGTTTTTACCAACAAAACATTGCTTTGAATAAAATTGATGCTGTCAATATTTTGACAGTTATATACATTGAGTAATAAATATATTAAGTAATATGTCAGTATCGTAATTGAAAGTATATAGGTATTTATTGATCAGTTCCAGTCGATTGCTTATTTTAGTAACTATGTTTATACCAGTATGTATATATTGAATTTCACATGCACTATTGTTCATATCGTATTATGGTTACTGTGTATACATGTATGTGTAATATGGATTGCATGAATGTGATATTGTTCATAACATACCCTGGTATGTGAAACAAAATGTGGTACATATGTACGAGTCTGGATAATTATATTACCCCACTGGATTTATTGAGAAATCCAGATATTTGGATGATTTTATTTATGCCCCACTAAGCTTCTTCTCTCTCTATTCACCCTCTCTCTCTCTCTCTCTCTCTCTCTCTCTCTCTTTGTCATAAATGGATTTATGAAGGGAACATAGAGTTGTAATCCTTTTTGTTTGCATTTTCTGAATTTCTAAAGGTGAACTTTTGGTTATGAGTAGTTGCATACGAAACAATTTTGAAACTTAAAAGTGATGAGAGAATTCGAAGAAGAGGGGTGGGGTTGGGGTTTGGTTGCCTTTATAGATCTTTAAAAATTGCAAAGACATAATTGAATACTCTGGATGTTTCATTGGAGATGTGGTTCGCTTGGGAATCAGTGATGGGTGTGGTGCCAGATCACACAGTAGGACTAATCTCAGTCTGTCAGGATATTCTATAACTGTGATTTGAGCAGAGAGAAGACAAAATATAGATTTAAGAGGAATAAATAAATAAATAAATATTTATTGATGAAGAAAAAAAAACAGAATTAAAAGAAAAATGAATACATACTAGTAGATATATGAATAAACACATAAATTGGGAATGTAAATATCACTTTGTATCAATATCACCAGGAGCTTTTTTGGATATATTGAAGTTCCATCTAGTGATATATGAATTACCAGTCATGCAAGTAATATTTTTATGCTGTCCAAGAAAGGTCGACCTAACTTCACTGGAAACACACCATAAAGTGCCCTAATCTGACTTCACCTTGAGTTAATTCCTTGAGAGTGTTGGATATAATCTGCATTGGGAATAGCTGAGGTTTAGGAACCAAATCAGCCATAGTCTGTGGGTATCCAGCCTCCCTGGTGAATGTATTGATCTATCTTTTGGCTTGTGTTTAGACATTAAAGCTTAGAGCTTATAATTGCTTCCATAAAGCATATATTTATATATATATATACTGGTTGTATATTGTGGAACTTTTTAAATAGTATTAGTGTTACACAAATAGTTAAAATTGTTTGCCCAATTTATAATCATAAGTGGTATGTGAATTGGAAAATGTCTGCCTAATTGTTTCATTTAAAATTAATATACAGTCAGTATCATTGATGGCTTTTCTTATTCCTCACTTTAGCTAAATAAAGTGAGTAATCATCAGCAGTTTATGATAAAAACTGGTTCAATCATGAATTATTAGGTAGGCAATGATATACAGCACTGTAGAATATATATATGAAATATGATATCATAATTGTTGGAACTCTCATTGTGTGCTTGCTCATTCTTACTTGATGAATGGAATATTAATATTTACAACACTTGTTATTGGGGGAGAGGGGGGGGGGGAGAAAAAGAGAGAGAGAGAGAGAGAGAAAGAGAGAGATCATGTTTATTAGAAATGCCTTGAAAAACATTGCCTCGCACCACTGCTGGTGGTTCTCAGTGGGAAAATTAATGAGCTTGGTATGAAACTAAAGATGCTATGGGTGGGTGTTGTACCTGACATTTAGGCCTATCTAGTTCCTGCTGAATACCTTGTTAAATGTTAAATACCTGTGTAGCAGCCATGTTCAGTGTACCAGTATTGACAGACAGCAGTAATTGATAATTTATTCATAAAATCAAAAACAGATTTTTTTCTGTTCCTCAACTGAGCTTTTTTCAGTATTACATCATGCATGATGTTGAATTTTGATATATACTTTGATAACATATATATTGTGTGTAATATTATCAGGAGGTGCCAGCAGTATCACCATTAAATGCCTGTAAATAGACATATAAACCAGATAAGCTTCAATGGGAGAAACACCAGTGTATAATTATCAGTAAAATTTGTTAATTGATATATTAAACCAGATAATTTACTTGAAGAAGTTGAACTATTTTTCTTCTCTTTAATGACGATGTGAATTTCCCCTTAAATGAAAATATCAGTCATTATCATGCATTGTTTCATTCTGTCCCTTGTTCATGCAGTCACCTGTCAAGGGGCTACTTGTGAAGGAGTCACTTGTCTTTGAGTAACTTGCTGTGGAGTCACCTGCTACAGAGTTACTAGTACTTGCCGTGGAGTCACTTGTCACAGAGTCACTTGTTGTGGAGTCACTTGTCACAGAGTCACTTGTTGTTGAGTCACTTGTCACAGAGTCACTTGTTAAGTCACCTGTCACAGAGTCACTTATCATGAAGTCACCTGTCATATATTCACCTGTGGTCAAGCCATCTGTCATGGAGTTACATGTAAAAAATGCTCTGTACCCTTACCTGTAGTGTGTGTAGGCCTTAATCACAGGTTCTTGTCCTTATTAATGGGGCTCTGGTTACTCTGAAGACCCGAGACCTACACAAAATTGGTTTTATTTTGTAAACCAAATGAATTTCTTAGCCTACTTTGATATAGGGTAAATCAGTGGTAGTCTTTCCAATAAAGCATTACCTGTCTTTTGTAAAAAGAAAAGAATGGTTGACATTTTATATCAATTTTTATTATAAGATTTGATGTTAAAGTCTTATTTTTTTATCACTTACATTGGAATTTGTGAAGATCACATAAAATTGTGAATTTTGGTGTAACACAGATGACTATCAGGGATTAACAGTATAAGCTATATATCCTAATATGTCCATTGTTTTGTACTTATAGACCCCAAAAGTCAGTCAATTTTAGCCATCTAATCTATGCCCAGAAACATCATTTGTGTGAGAGGCCCTTGCAGCCTGTTGATTTATAGCTGTTTTCCTACCATAGTCTCACCAGTTCTCTGCCTACAACCTGTAGATTTGCATGCTAACATTTTGGACCCTGTTCAGTTTTTGTGTCTTGTTTTGCTTCTGCCTGGAAAATAACCTTTCAAGATAACATCACTTTTTGGCATCAGGTTTCCCTCTCAGAAAGCCATGGTATAAAGTACTTAATGTTAGTCAGTTAAAAAGTCTAATGCCAAAACCAAATAAATTGCCAGCAACCCAGAGATGATCGAGCTGCAATCAAAAAGGTTATAGCAAAAAAGAGTATAGATTTTCTAATTGGAGATCACTTAGGCCCTTAACCCCACCTCTTTCCCCTCTCACATTTGCAGTCCTTGTGTAATATATCTAAGACCGCATTCAGATTCACATATCATACTAGCTGGGTCGATCCAACTCTTCTGGGGATTCTCGCCAAATCAGTGGAAACAGCTTAGTATTTGTCTGGCACGCCTCAGGGGTGGTTAATTATTGTGTGCTGATTAAACTGATAGCACTGATTGCACTTTAGTGAGAATCCCCTGCAGAGTTGGACTGACCCAGCTAGTACATTGTGTGAATCTGAATGCGCCCTTTGTGGCTCATCACATGAAGAGGACAGTTAGAAACTTTACAGAGAGCAATTACCCTCTCAGGAGGAAGCTGGTCTTGGCAATGGGCTTTTACTGTTACATAGGTTTTTCATTGCCCATTGTGTAAAGGCCATAAAAAAAGTTAATCTTACTCAAGAGAATTTACCTGTTTTTACCTGGGAGGCAGCTTTGACATATGGTTAAAATATCATGCTGGCCACTTAAGGCAGATAGACATCATAGAGCACATTCAGAACAGCGTACTAACAGATCCACAGATCAAATATGGCTGACCCACTTGAATACTTGTTGCATAATCTATTCAGTGTCTAATTGGGAACTAAGTGGCAAACTTTTTAGTGGGTCGCCTTATTTGATTTACGGATCTGTTTGTCCATTGTCCTGAAAGCTTTAATAGTGACTTCAGAAACAATTATAAATCTAATTTGCAATGCGTTTCTTCTCTGCATGGAAGAATAAAATGTTGTATTTGAGAAATCTTTTCATGATATATTATCAGACCTTTTTGTTGGGAGATGGGTGAAGGTCAAACGGTGTTAAACAGGTATAAAGTCTGGAGTTATTAACGAAAACTGCCCCATTTTTCTAGGAATGAATTTCTGTACTACAATGAATTTCTGTACTACAGAGCAATAATTGCTATAAAGTGTTTACTGTAATGATTTCGTTATTTTGTTTATTGCAACAAGCAGCAATTCTCCAATATGCGACAATAGTATCCCTTGTGTATTAACTTGTTCATAGAGTACAATATAAATTTTTTCCAATAATGATGGTTCTGAATTCATGTGCATACCAATTGTCATCAAAGAATTATCATGGAATATGGTTATTTAA